ATACACCGATCCACAGGCTCAGCTGGGGCAACCTTTATCTCCTTTGGTGCCCACATTGCAAGGCTCTGTTCAATCCAGGCTTTTATTTGGTGCTGATTGACCCCTCTCCATCACAACCCCTGGAAGGACAGTCCTGCTGGCACCAGGCCACTTCACTCCTGCACCCCTTGTGGTGGTGGCCACAGGAGAAGCAACCACAGCTTGGGCCACAAGCCCTGCCTGGAAATCCTGCTGTGGAGCTGCTGGTGGGAGGCCTGTGGCAGCCACGGTGCCACTGTCAACACTGCCCAGGAGCCACCACTGTCCCTCAACTGGGTCCAACCTCGCACCCGCTGCCTATGGAGCCCCTGCATGAGGTGCTCAGTCCGCGACTCTCCTCCAGTCAACGTTTGCTGATCAGGTTTCTCAGCACACACTGAACCTCATACTGGTTTGGTCACTTAGCCTCCCAAAGGGTTATTAAGTCACATATGAAGCTAATGTCAGCCATTTTGGTGTTAATGTCAGCACCAGAGAATCACAGCAGGAGAGGGGCAGGAAAGTCTTTGATTTCCTGGCTTTAATTTGTAGCTAGGGTGGGCTTGGCAGAGGGAGACTGTGGGCAGGAGCTATAGAGGCCCCACTGCCTCAAAGAAGAGTCTCAGCTTAATCCCATCAGCCAAATGCCTCCACTCTGATGTGATGGCCGCATGCTGGGAATGGGCCCATGGCACCCAAGATGTTGCCTGTCCATCATCTTGGAGGTTTCAAAGCATCTTCTCCCTATTTAACTACTCTTTAGGAAAGGTCTGCATCTACCTCGGTCCCTGAAGGGGACTCCATGTCTGTCTGCTCTAGGGCTGGTAGGCTAGGCCTGACTTTGGAACAAAACCGAATAAAAAGCCAAGTAATTTCAGGGAACATGTGTGGTTACCGCTACGCAGACAAAGGAAAGAGCAATCAGAGCTCTGGGCTGTAAGCAGATTCCTTGAGAGTCTCAGGGAGGAATTCGCTCCATCTCCGCTGCTATGCTACACTGGCCTACATGGCCACGCACATCGCAAGAGGCTTCAGTGCTCCATGCGCCACGAGGGTCCTGCTGCTTGCCAGAGGCAGGGTGACAAGGACAGGAGGCAGTGGCATGGGAAATCCTGTGGGCAGGAGCCTGGGAAGAAATGAAGACTCTGCCCTGCCCACCCTCAACCAGGAATCCGACATTCTCAAGCATTCTCATCGTGCCAGACTCCCTCCAAGCCTCGCTCTGCCAGCCAGATCCCGCTCTCCTTCCACTCCCAGCCTGAGTGTTCATTAGCAGCAGGGATTCCTCCACATCGGCCGAGAAATGAATTACAGTCCCTAATAGCTCAACCTTGCTGGAAGCTTTTCCTCCTATGTAAATACTGTGGTATAACAGTGGCCTAATTTCAAACTACAGAACCACCTCAGAAGCAGATAAGCATACTTTACGTCCACAGCCATGGATGCCTTAAATCACCTGAATTTAACGTGGGATTATGTAGTACAAAGATTTTTTTGATATTTTAGGCTGGAAGGCACCATTATAACTCAGCAATCTGACCTCCTGGCTAGTGAATTTTACCCAAGAATTTAAAGCTCCATTCTTCTGATTAAAAATAAATAAAATAAAATAAAATAAAATAAAATAAAATAAAATAAAATAGCCTGGTTCATCGGCACAGGGACAGAGCAGCTGCTGGAGGGATAATGATTGCAAGTCACCCTAATACTGAAGACCACAGTGTTGAAGGGCAGCAGGTCCTGGCTGACAATACTTCCACAATCGGGATTATTTTGCTCTGGATATGTCTCAGTATGCCTGATTTGTAAAGTAAAAGTAATGAAGAGTTCTGAGGTCAAAGCCAGTATTTAAAACTAGTTCCATTATCCTTGATTTCACATACAGAAGTGCTGCTGTTCAAAAGTCAACAATATTACAGGAAAGCAAAACCCTAGTGACTGCCAGCAGGTAGACAGACAGATTCATGAGACGTTAAGAAGATATAACCTCAAAATCTCTGGATTTCTTGCTCAGCAAGAGATGGAGGCAGGGAATAGGTGCAATAATGCAGCCCCATGCCCAGAGCTCATATCTCTGCCATCCAGCACCTTGTGGGTGGCACAGAAGTCATGGAAAAGTGGGAAGCCCTTTCTCCCTGCCAACCTGTGACCAGCGTCCACATCACGTGGCAGGTTACCCTGCATCTGGGAGAGAGCAATGATTCCTTTTGCTAGGATTTTAATTTATCTGATGAGAAAGAAAATAATCAAGCAGACAGTCACCCAGGTGGCTCTGCACATTTTGCAGCCCCTCCTCCCCCCCCTTTTTTTTTTTCAGCCCATTTTATAACAGGGTTATAACCTGAGGACACGGCGATAACTCCTGCTGTAATCTTTTCTTTACGAAAGTCACTTAGCAGATGGAGTCATTTAGAGGTGCTCACATTCAAATGAGCGGCTTGCCCTGAAAGGGACAGAGCTCGGGCTGCTGGCAAGATTTTCGGGATCGTTAGCCTAGAAAATGCTTAGCAGGGGAAGCAATTGGCAGGCAGATTTTGCGGACACGGCATTGGTACCCTCTGCCAGCAAAATTACAAGGCTGAAATCCTGGAGCTAGATGGGGCCAAACTGTTCGCAGCAAACAATTTAATTGATGAATGGAGTGAATTGCCCAGGAGATGATTTTTATTTATCTGCTCATCGTGCAAAACCATTTGGAGAAGGGTTCATGCACCAGGGCATCAGCCAGCTATCTGCTTGCAGAGCCTCCTGTGTCAGACATGACCTGGCCAGGGCTCATCTCCTTACACTTGTGCAGACCATCACCAAGCTCATACAGGGATGTGCTCCCAGAGCAAGCAACCAAGAGCTGTGAACATAACTACCTCCAAGCTTGCCTTTTCACCTAATCAAAGATATTACTCTTCACCGCAAATCCTACTGCTTGGTGGCTTCTGTAACGCTGCTGCTCCAGTGCAGGAGATTTCAGTACTGTCTGTTTGCAATGGAGCCTACATAACATGAAGAATGGTGCCAAACTGAACAGCAACATCTAATTTTCAGTTCACGCAATAAACTGAGCAATCTCAGAGGACCTCTCCTCTCTAGCCCTCTGACCTCCTCGCACAATATTACACTCATGCACTCCTTTCAACTGGTCTAATAAAGTCTATTACTTCTCCAGCTCTTCCATGAAAACGTATATTGAGATGAATGCTTGCAACCCTTGAAAATATCCTCTTGCTTATGAAAAGGCTTCTGGGAAGTGAACACAAGAGACAATAACTACCATGGAAAGGAGCAATATTTGTGATACTGACTTAGCAGCCTTTGACCCAGCCCTTGCAGAGGGTGGGAGAGATGGAGGAGGAACTAAGGTGGGGAGAAGGGACCATTGGTTGCAATTACTGTTTGCAGGGTCCAGAGACCAATCCAAAATTATTCATCTCACAACACTCTTCTGCTGCTGCTCTGTGGCAGGCATGAGCACAGAGCATGCCTGCCCATTTTATGGGCATTTTATGTTATTGGTAAGTTGGCACTAACTGGTATAACACTCAGTTGTGAAAATCCTGAAGGAGTCTTTGATGCAAGCATCTTTGAGATGCAGGACTGACCATCTCAGTAACAGAATTCTTCATGTCCTAAGCCTGCTGTTTGGCACTCATACTTGTAACTCATTGGCTTTGGATCCATCAGAACACGTGCTGCTGCCTGTCTGCACTGTTGAGATTTCTGTGTGCCTGGAGGAACCTGAGCACTTAAACTCTACTTACCTTCAGCAATGCTTTTAACCAATTCTAATCAGTTAAAAAAAAAAAAAAAAAAAAAAAAAAAAAAAGTCTCATCTTAAAACAGATCCTAGAAGCTCTGGACTTGTGCCTGCTTTTAAGAACATTAACCCTGGCAAGGCTGTTCATTTTTCCTTCCCACCCTTCAATGTCCCCTCTGGCCTTCAGAGGTGTCCACAAACCTCTGGCACTACCTCTGGCTCCTTCCTCACAGACTGGCTCAAGCCCTATGGTCCACACAGCCTGCGAGCTCCTGTAGTTGCACACCTTTCACCTACACTGCATTTACTCTAAAAAAAAGAACAGATGAGGCAGAAGAAAAGGTGAAAGCAAGATAATAGCTGTGGAGAAAGGCTGCTGCCATAGACTAGACAATGCTGGAAATGGAGGCTCAGAGAAAAGTTTTTCTCCTGAAATTATTCTCTTCAATTTCAACAGCATACGGAAGGGAAGTTTAAGCACACTTTTTAAACACCTTTTGTACTCAAATTCCAAATTTACCTGTCTACCCAAGCAATAACAGAAGTAATCTTTTTTTATCCAGCTGCGCATTTTGCTATAGAAATTTGTTTCCATTAAACCATTCTCTTTTGTCCTCCTAAAAAGCATATTTTAAATAATAACAGTACAAAAAAAATAACACACTACCCAAAAAACCCAACCCTGTCTACTGTGCACTTTTATACAAAAGTTATCTCTCTCTCTCTCTCTCTCTTTCGGTGGATTGATGAAAACCCTTTTTAGAGTGTCAAGGTAGAGATGAGAGAGAGGGGGAATATTTCTTAGAGCCCATAGCTAGTCATTTCAGCAGGAAACACATGGCAAACTCTGATCTTAGAAAACTAAATTACAGCACCAGTATGAACCTGATGTTCTCTTTCTGCTTTGTAAAACACAATTTTGAAGGAGTTGGGATGGAAGTATACATCCCACTTAAACTTCAAGGAATATGGATTTTTTTTTCCACCGAGGATAACAGGGGTATATGAATTTCATCTAAAATAAACAAAACAACACCAACATGTTGTCTACATCTGCACCAGCCTTTCTTCTTGGAAATGAATGCTGCACTCTGGGTCCGAGGAAAATATCCACATACTTCAACCTTCCATCTATACAGTCCTTTCCCGCACTGTCCTATGTCCACATGTTTCTCATCAGCTTGTGCATCAGCCTACCTCTCCATTCTACAGACACAATCAGAGAGATTACCTTCGGGCCTGCGTGTTGCTGCTGGTTCCTGCTGAAGTCATCAATGTTGCTTAGTTGTCTGTAGGGGCTGGGAGGCACGCTGGACACAGCATCAAGGATCCTGGAAGGTGGGTCACCAAGCCCAGTATTTGAACTGCAAGGGAAAAAGAAAAAAAGAAAATGTAAGGAGGAATTCCATATAGAAGAGCTGTAATTTATACAATGGCTTGTATAAAATGCCAACGGCTTGGTTGTCCCAGGGACCGTCAGGTAGTGCATCAGACTCAGAAAGGCCAGATATGAAAGGGAAGAGGAACAAGGGACAGACCAGCATCCAAGAGATTGGCTGCTCAACATAGTAACTCAAAGGAAAGAAATACACCTATTAGTGGAGGTGGGACTGTATCAGATGTTAGAAGTGGATCTAGGACTGAAGTAAGAAGAATGTGAGGAAAACTATATGGGAACTGAAAAAGCTATGAGGAAGATGGACAGCCCTGAACATGTACAAGGCAGATGGTACAAAACAAATATCAACGCAGTGCTCCTGAGGAGAGAGGAGCCACTACCACCACCACTGAGCTGGGCTGCCATCAACAAGCAACCCAGCATGGGCAGAGTTTAACAAGCTTAACCATCCTTACACATGGCATTGGCCTTGTAAATGCAAACTTAAATCTTAATTGAGATTTTATCATCTTCTGTCCCCACTCTTCACCTCTAACCTCCTTTCTGTTTATTCTCTGCTAGCTTTGCTCATCTGGCCAGGGCCCTCTATCCTCACCAATGTGGTCGAGTTCTTGCTCACCTGTGATGCTAGACAACCAGTAGAGGCTGAGTAACGGACAATAACTGTAACAGCATCATGATCACTATATTCAATGTCTTGTTTTATTATCAGCAACATAATAACTATATCAGGGACAACTATTTTATTATTCCTCCTGCTCTTATTATTCAGATGTGACCTAGGAAATATTTCAGAAAGACAACACAAATCCAATGCAAGATCCAGCAGAACAGAGAAGTTAATTAAACGTCAGAGTGATGGACAGAGCTGGGATAAGCCTAGAACAGTATCAGAGAGCTGGACAACCTTGACAAATGTGGGGAGATGGATGGATCTGGGACAAGTCCCAGACCTCTACCCCAGCAAGGCAAAACTGTCCTACCTACACACATCCTTAAATACAACATTGCTCCCCAATCTGTCACTGTTTCATTGATTTATGCAGGTGAAGAAATTTTCCAGAGAGAGCTGCCTTCCAAACCGTGCTACCAATCAAAGTCTGATGTGGTGACACTTTATTACCTCCAAATAATGCAAAGAAAATAAAGAGCCCCTTCAAAAACAGCAGTCACTTAAATGTAGTTTTTAACCAATACGTGTCTGAACTCATGGCAGGCAGCATTTTTGTAAAAGATTTCTTTTTTTTTTTTCCCCCCAAACTAGACTTTTGCAAGTAAGGCAGGTGGAGGACAGTGAATGGGGAGAGAGAACATTAGCCAGAGGGTGTTGCAAAACTCCAAGAATAAATATTACAGAGAAAAAAAAAAGCAATCCTGTGACATATACCAGACAATCTGTAAGCCATCAGGAGATTGGAGAACATAATAGGCTAATCAATCAGGTAGACAAGGGTGCCAAGTGTCACAAGGAAGCAATAGGTAGTTGGAGGTCAGTTATGAAATATAATGTCTGAACTGGAAAGGGAAGGACAGCAGCACAAGAACAATGACAGGTATTTGAGCACAGGTTGGGTCAGTGATATCCAGGAGGGTGAAGATCACATGAGAATATTATGGGAATGAGAAGGACAAATAACCCAGTATCTTTGAGATGGGCACATATCCTGCAAAATGAAAGGCCAAATAGGCAAGCCTTTAAAGTCTGGCTTCATTTCAGAAAATGGCGATGAAAGATAGATATTGTGGTTCTCTTTTTGGTTGTTTCTTTGGATTTCCAGATAAAGTTTGTCAAGTTAAGAAGAAAAAGTAGTACCTTTCCTAAGCACAAGGCCTGCAATTAGCACTACAGATTAGAAAGCTAAACTGAATTCTTCTCTAGCTTGTGCTTTCTCATCCGTGATCAGGGCATGAGTAATTTCTAATCCAGTTAGCTAAGACATAGTCTAGTTGCACAGTGCTATGCATGAGAAGATGGGGATTCTGCATGTAAATTTAATTATTTCTTCTGCTGAGAGTGTGGGAATTGGGGGGGAAGAAAAAAATAATAATAATTAAAAAATCACCTCACTCTCTGCTAGCTATCTGGACTGCACAGTGGCAAAAGGATTTCATATAATGTCATTTACATCTGCACATCTGTTGCTTAACTAAGCAGGTAGAGTCCCATTACGCCTAGGGAAAAGCTTGACTTATCATGGAGTCATTCTTACTAGCACTTTCCTGACCTTTACTGCATGTTACAAAGGCATCACACAGTCCTCTAACAACAATTAGACCCAAGCAATTAGAGCTGAGTGAACAATTCATAATGAATAATCTGTTTGGCAAACTTCACCTCATTTTATGCTCATGAAATGTTCACACACAGATTGCAAAGTTCTCACATTTATTTGTTAATGGAAATAATTTGCCATTTTTCCCCCTGAGCAAATATCACCGTAACAGTTCATTGAAAATAATCTATATTCAAAATGTAGGCTGTGCTTATGAGCTGCACAAGTCACATGGCAACGTCTTGGTTCTCTCATTGGATGAGTCAGCTGGGACCAGACTGGCCTTCAGAATTGCACATCAAGGCTGGCAAATCTTTTGCTTGAAATTCCCTTTTGCCAAATTGGTCTCCGGGCTGCGGGATAACATGGGGAACACATTATCCCACAATTGGTCTCATGCCTGTGGGATAACATGGAGAAAGAGCCAGCACGACTGGACTGAACAGCTGAATTTTGCCAGTGCGTGTACCCACGTACCCTATACCCAACAGGGATACTCCAAAATAGCATATAAGGGCAGGCATTTTATCCATAGGTTTGATGCTGGAGTGCTGATATTGGCTCCCTCCTTGTCTCCCACGACTGGCCGCGTGATCCCAGGTAATCCCATAGCCTGCTTTAGGGAATATCTCTTCAGGAACTCAACAGAAACATCATCTTGAGTCACTCCGTGCCAGGGGGCAAGATCAGGCCTTGAGGTAAAAGTCATCCTGCCTCACTAGCCATTTAAATAGGAAATTCCTTTACAGGGCTGGTTGATTAGGGTTCCTCTACAGCTGATTGAGTCATGTATCTCAAGCCACATCACCATCCTGAGGTAGACACCAAACACATTTAAGCCATAACTGGAAAAACTGGAAGCCATAACTGAAAAAAAAATGGATGACTCCCTTAAAACAGGTGCTTATCCCTCAGAAAACATCTTCAAAAACTCATCCTGGGTCCTCTGCTGGCAGGGGTCAGGCCAGATTGCACAGAGAAAGGGGCAAGGCTTGAGTGGAGGAAGCACCATGCTGCTCGTGGGAGCCTGGGCCGAGGGCAAGCGGGCAGACCTTGTGGGCTGCTAATGAAGCCTAGAACAATGAGTTCTCTAAAGGACGGAGACACATGGAGAGATAAGAGAGCATAGGGCAATAAATCAGGCTTTCAAAGCAGAGCGTATTAGGAGATCAATGGGACAGATATTAGACTCAAGGAGCACTGAAGAGACAGGAGCAATTCTGCTCCTTTGCCTTACCCCCGCCGTTGCTAAGGAATTTTTTCATTTAATAACGTCCTCATTGTTTTTAAATGAGCAGCAAAGCCAATGAATTCCACGTGGCATTAGTGATGCATTTGTGAAAGGGAAAGCTACTGGCTCCTAGCAGGATTTGATAAAAGCCTCTCCAAGCTCCGAGTGATTTACAGCTCGGGAAAACAAACACAGGCTGATACAAATGCAGAGGGAGGCGAGGACGACACCGACATGCAGGTACACTCAATTACCAATTCATCAGCCCAAGTGAACTTGAAGGGCTTTTCAAACTCTACATGGTTCTAAATTAAAGGAAATCTTTAGATGGATAACATTCCGCCGTCCTCAGGGAGAAGCACACTGATCTGATGATCTTGTGAGCTCCTACCTTACGTGGGCAAAGGGCCACAGGACAGGGTAGGAGATGAGAGCTTGCTCTCCTCACATGAGGAAGGACAAGATGCCAGGCTGCCTTCTGCGCTCCTCTGGAAAGCTCTTTCCACAGACACGTCCCTTCCTACTCGCTCTGCCCCAGTCTCCCAAAGACCTTTTGCTCTTGCGTCCATTACAAATTCTGCTTTTGTCTGCCCTGAAGGTATTTACGGCAGAGCTGTGAACATAACCAAGTTTTGGGATCAATGGCTGAGCTAAAAAAAGTGTAGAAAAAAAAAAAGAAAATCGCTTCACGGTGACCCAAAATTAGAATTGCCCAAGTTCTTCTCAGCAAAATATACTTATATATGCATATGGTCAACCCATCTGTCTAAATCAACCTGAAGCTACTTCATGAGAAATGTCACCTCCACCCCCAGCTAGAAACACTTTTTTTTTTCCTAAAGAAGTGACTTACAGCTGCCCAGCTCCATGCCCCAGCTGCATTGACACTAATATAGTGTTTGATACCTCCCCACACGGCATTAAACACCCTCAGCACCTTCAGCAGTGGGGTTAAATCACTATTTTAATAAAAGATTGGCAGCAGCTGGGGGTAGCAACAGCTTCACAGGAACAGAGGGAATCCAGCAGCTAGGAGGCTGCGGAGAAACTCTGTAATTGTTCATGTGGAAGCTATTTGCATTGCAGTGTCTAATGAACATCTTGGGGAAATGACATCTTTGCTAAAGAGGGAGCATCCTGCTCCTCAGGCTCCGTGCATGCTCGCAGCATCCATGGGAAGGGGAGCTGTCCAAGACTGCCTGTGCCACGGTAGCAACTCTGATGTGCTCTGCTGTTTTCTGTCCAACACTCCAAAACACCCTTTCCAAGATTTCCTCAGAGAAGTAGTCTCCCAAAGAGCTGCATTTCGAACAAAATCCCCCTAAAAAGCCCTTAGCAAGAGCCTCAGTTCTTCTGTGAGATCTTCTTGTCATTCATCTCCCTCCTTTTGCCAGCAGGAGCAAGAGCAGGACCAGGAGGCAGAGCTTGGTGCCAAAATATTTTGGTCCATCAGCAAAATCA